CTTCTCTAGATATCCCATTGGTTTTTGTCATTGTATTTATCACCCACCTACCCATCCATCCAATTAACTTTTAATAAGTACATGCACGACAGCACCAAGTTAGAGTCTTTTGCTCTCAAGGGAAGGAGATGCACATGAGCCACATGTCACCTCTTCTTTTGAGTCAGTTCTGTTTATAGGCAATGAGGTCTGTAGAGTAGACAGTTCCAGAACTGGAACACCCTGGAAATACCTTTCCTGCCGCAGCCCCTTGACCACACGGGTAAAGTTCCATGACTCCCTCTTCTTCACCCCCAGATGATCTCTCCCTGGTTTCAAGGCCGCTGCTTCTCCCTCTGTCAGGCCTCTGCTGTGTGCCCAGCTCTGTGGAAGAGACAAAGATGTATCAATTCTGCCCTCCAAAAGGTTACAGTGTAGGAATAAGGACACACAAAAGTGATACAGAGTCATATTGCTTGATGGTGACAATGTTAGCATGGAGTCCCCGAAGGCAGAGGAAAGGGCCCCGATGTGCGTTTGGGGAGTTCAGGTGGAGGAAGGATTTTCTGCAGAAAGACCTTTGAGCCATGCCTTGAAGGTCAAGGAGAAATGTGTTGGATGAAGGTTTGGGGGAAAGGCATGCCAAGCAGAAGGGACAGGGTGAGTTGAGGCATGGAGGTGTGAAACGGTATGACTCAGGCGAAACGGCAGCTCGAGATGGGGGTGGTGAGGACTGAGCCTGGAGAGAGGGCAGTGCCTACCGAAAGCATTCCCGCAGTGGGGCTGGCTTGGTCGGTGGCCACCCTCCCTGAGTTTGGGGAATCTGTCCTCACCCACTCTCCAGTACTCCGTGAGGTTAGAAACTACGGCCCTCATCTTTACAGTCAGGAGAGGCCCAATGTACCATCCTTCTGTTCTAGGGCAGTGTCAAGACTTGATGCCCCCCCCCCCCCTTCTACTGCGTGTGGCGTGTGTAGAGGTGTTTTGCCTGCATTGATGTCTGTGTACCAATTGTATGCAGTTCCTATGCAGACCAGAAGAGGGCATCAGATACAAAGGAACTGGAGTTACAGCCACTTGCGAGCTGCCGTGTGGGTGCTAGGAATCAAACCTGGGTCCTCTGGAAGACCAGCGAGCACATGTAATCACTGAGATATCTCTCCAGCCACTATGAAGCCTCTCTATTAAAACATATTTTATTTATTAGACTTATTCACTATATGTTTCGCGTGAGCGTTCCACCTGAGTGTTTGTGTGTCCACCATGCCTGTGCTTAGTGCTCATGGAGGTCAGAAGAGGGCATTCGATTTCTTGGAATTGGAGCTATGGATGTTTGTGAACCACTGTGTGGGTGCTGGGAATCGAACCCAGGTCCTCTACAAAAGCAACAAGTGCTCTTAAGCTCCGAACCATCTCTCCAACCCCATGATGTCTCTGTTGATTGCTCTCTGCTTTTAATGACCCCTAACTTCTTGGATACTCACTGAGATTTGCATTGCTGTCTGTCTGATTAGTTAGTAGCTACAGGCCAAGTTTTTAAAAACTTGTCTAATGCCTCGGTGGTCTCATGATACTCCCAACTCATGGGTTGTTGAGTGTAAACATGGGTTGAGTGCTCAGGGGAGGCACTAGGAGCTTCTTACGCTAGGAGATATAACAGCAGTGGGAAGACATCGGGTGCAGGGCAGCCCGGGGCAGCTGGAAAGGCTGTTATGCTCAGGCTCTGTGGATGCACAGATCCTGACTGATTCATACCCTTTCGAGTTAAAAGCAAAGCCTTGGCCTGCCATACCTTGGAGGTAAGGAGAGGAAGGTATGAGAGTCTTATCAACATACCCAGGGCTTCTCAGAAATCCAGCTTCATGCCAGGGAACAGGAACAGTCTCTGGAGATGAACAGCTGGAGCTGACAATGGACCAGGAGGGAGTTGTGTGCTGGTGGAGGTTTACCAGCCAGTAAAAACTTAGTACAGCCGGGCGGTGGTGGCGCACGCCTTTAATCCCAGCACTCGGGAGGCATAGGCAGGCGGATCTCTGTGAGTTCGAGGCCAGCCTGGGATACCAAGTGAGTTCCAGGAAAGGCGCAAAGCTACACAGAGAAACCCTGTCTTGAAAAACAAAACAAAACAAAACAAAACAAAACAAAAAAAAAAAAAACTTAGTACAACCTGGTGGGAAGGAGCAAGCCCTGGATGACATGTTCATTCATTCTGTGGTGTGAACATTCTCACCACAAATGATTTCAAGCTGCCAGGGTGACTCTGGTGAACTGGAGTGGGGAAGGCTGTCAGAGCTGGCCTTTAAGAACCAGTACTGCCAGGTATGGGGGCACACACCTTTGATCTCAGCACTTGGGAGGCAGAGGTGGGTGAAGCTTTGTCAGTTCAAGGCCAGCCTGGTCTGCATATCAAGACCCAGGACAGCCAGGGCTACATAGAGAAACCCTGTCTCAAAACAACCAAGTACCAACCCACCCACCAACCAACCAACCTACCAACCCACCCACCAGTACTGGCCAGCTCCAACACACTGTCGAGGGGCAGAGTTGCTACGTACGGTGAAGAAGGGAGGCTTGAGGGCGGGTGTGGGATAGGATCCTAGTGGCTCACAGGGGCCAGGGACCCTAATTTTGCCTATTTTACAGAGTAGGAAGGTGAGGACCAGAAGGGCATCTTGTTTGTGCCAAGTGACCATCCATGGCAGTCAGGACTCCAGCACAGGAGTGTGCTCCAGCGCTGAGCACACCTCACCCACCTTCTTTCAGGACAGACTTGCTGGACCCAGGGTGGGAGCCGCCTCTGTGGCGTCAGTCTTAGAGCACTCCCAGAGGAGCCTGGGGCTTTGGCTGTAGAGCAGCCCCATCCATGACGGTGACATACCCGGTTTCATTTAGATCCTGTTGTCACGGTTAAAATAACTGGCTCAGAAAAGTTAGTGGAGACAGACGGTAACCTGTGGGGTAGAGTAGGCAAAGAAATTTCCAGCACTAGAAATGAAATTTTCACAGCACAGAATCTATATCTGTCACAAAGCCCCAGTACTAACAGCACGTTTTTGCTCCTAAGGTTGTATTAGTGATCATTTATTAATGATCATTAAACCTAATCATGTGATCTGGAGCCTTGAGTCAAAAAGGTGACTCTGTCTGGGGGAGGGAAATCAAGGAGGAAGGTGAGAACAGGGACTGGGCAGGCCGGGCATGCTGGGCGGTGAGGTAGGGTACTGAAGGCCTGTCCGGTCACAGAAAAATGCACGAGATCCCAGGCTTGCACCTGTGTCCTGATGCTGTGACTCAGTGTGTTTGCATGCACTCGTGCATGTGTGTGTGCATGTGTGTGTGTGTGTGTGTGTGTGTGTGTGTGTGTGTCTACAAATTGCCCCACCATCATTGATAGCAATCTTGTGCAAGAGTGATTGTCACGATCAGGTCCCTGGGGGTGTGGCTTATAGCGCAGGTAGTTCAGCTGTCAGTCTTCTGGGCTGACAGCAGCCTCCGGAGGTGAGAACTGGTGGGCAGAGGGGGCTCTGAGCACATTTGATGGGAGCTGTGCTGCTCTCTGACCTGGCCATTTGCTGTTCACCATTCAGGAGAAATGCTTTGCAAACACACTGGGCATGTGTATAAGTGTGCACGAGCTAGCTCACACCTGTGCACATGCATGCCCACACATATGCATCCGTGTGTATTCCTGGATCTCCTGCTATTTCCTTACTCATCTAGGGAAGGCCCTGGACAGAGGCCTGAGGATGGTGGGGAACTGGGAAGTTGACAGGGGGTGTCTCCCCCTTAAGGCCCCAGGTGTGTCTAGAGGAATTCCACAGCATTCTCTTCCCCTCTGATCTCTAAGGCTGTCACAGTTAAAAATGGAGATAAATTCATCTCTGGCCTTGTCCCTTTGGAGCCTCTTGGCACACAGTCGGAGCTTAATAAATACTTTATGAGGAGGATTCTAAACCAGGGAAGCCAGCAGCTGTTTCCGACTCTGACTCTCAGAGACCCATGGGGCAGATCAGACATGGAGCCACCAGGATCTCCAATCTTCCTTCCAGACCCTGAGGTGACTCCAGGCCCAGCTGTTCCGGAAGAAGCTGGATCCAGGTTACTTCACACATCCTGCTTAGGGGAAGTTGGCTCTTCCTTGACAGGTTCTCTTTGGCTCTTTCCCATCCATCATGTGAACACTATTGAACAACCACATTGTGCTCAACATCATAGGAGAAAAGCATTCTGGGTAACAGCATAGGAGCAGTGGGGTCTACGTTCAGATCCTAGTGCCTTTAATCACAAGAGGCGCATTTCTTATCTGTGCCTGAGTGGGCTTCTTTTCTTTTTTTTTTCTCTTTCTTCTTTTATTTCGTTTTTAGAATGATGACGTCATTCCATAGGGTTGACGTGAGGTTTAGAAATAACAGAGGCTCCTGCACACAGCGCAGGTGCTCTGGCAGCGGTAGGTGAGCTTCTCCTCCCCATCAGGAGAAGTGGGTTCCTGCCACTCCTGGCTATTCTTACTCAACGCCTCTGAGGGTTCGTTCTCTTCTTTGTAAAATGGGAGCCCAGTTGGGTTTTGGGAAGGGTGTCCCTGGAATCCTATGTGTCAAACAACCTGTCACAGACACTGGCCATTAATCAACGTTTGTTCTCCGTTCGCGGTCCCCCCAGCATGGTGACAGCTTCCCCTTTAGGATGTCCTGGGTCTCTCTTCTTCCCACCGCCCCAGCGCCAGCGTCCAGTCCCGATCGGGGGTTCAGGATCCTAGTCATACCTCCCAGGGGAAAGAGGGCAGCTGCTCGGCTCCCGGGTGGGGTGTGGAGGGGTTGGGGGGGGGTGGGGGTCTTGGAACAAAAACTACAGTTCCCAGCCCTCGTTGCGCTGCCACCCGGCGGGGAGCGGAGGATGGCAGGCCCCTTCTGGGAGGCGGAGCCTGGGAGGGAGGCGGAGTTAGGAGGGTTGGAGAGTTAAGCCAAGCCAATGAAACCGCTGGCTAATAAGTGGGCGTGGCTTGCCATATAACAGTGTCAGGAGGAGGAGAGCGAAGCTATTGAGCCAGCGAGGAGTGAAGCTGAGTCTGCCTCATACACTCCTAGAGGACCGCCTCCAGAATAGAGTTCCTTTCGCCCCTTCCTCCTTCTCCCAGCTCCTCTCCTGGCCTTTCTACCCGCCCAATACAATGCATACTCGAGTGGCAGCCCCAGAGAACTGAAGCAAACCAAAGAGAGAGGACTGGAGCCAAGACACTTCTGGTGGGGGAGCTCGGATGCCTGGCTTTCTTTGAGGTCATCTTTGGAACAAGGGTGGCTTTGGGGTGGAGGGTCGTGCTGCAGGGAACCCAGCCAGGCCCCAAGATGGACACTTCTGGGCACTTCCATGACTCGGGGGTGGGGGACCTGGATGAAGACCCCAAGTGTCCCTGTCCATCCTCTGGGGATGAGCAACAGCAGCAACAGCAACCGCCACCACCGCCAGCGCCACCAGCAGTCCCCCAACAGCTTTCAGGACCCTTGCTGCAGCCTCAGCCTCCGCAACCTCCGCAGCTTCAGCAGCAGCAGCAGCCGCAGCAGCAGCAACAGCAGCAGCAGCAGCAGCAGCAGCAGCAGCAGCAGGCTCCACTGCATCCCCTGCCTCAGCTTGCCCAACTCCAGAGCCAGCTTGCCCATCCCGGTCTGTTGCACTCCTCTCCCACGGCTTTCAGGGCTCCCACTTCGGTCAACTCCACCGCCATCCTCCACCCTTCCTCCAGGCAAGGCAGCCAGCTAAATCTCAATGACCACTTGCTTGGCCACTCTCCAAGTTCCACAGCCACAAGTGGGCCCGGTGGAGGCAGCCGGCACCGGCAGGCCAGCCCCCTGGTGCACCGGCGGGACAGCAATCCCTTCACGGAGATAGCTATGAGCTCCTGTAAATACAGCGGTGGGGTCATGAAGCCCCTCAGCCGCCTCAGCGCCTCGCGGAGGAACCTCATCGAGGCCGAGCCTGAGGGCCAACCCCTCCAGCTCTTCAGTCCCAGCAACCCCCCAGAGATTGTCATCTCCTCCAGGGAGGATAACCATGCCCACCAGACTCTGCTCCATCACCCCAACGCTACCCACAACCACCAGCATGCCGGTACCACAGCCGGCAGCACCACCTTCCCCAAAGCCAACAAGCGGAAAAACCAAAACATTGGCTATAAGCTGGGACACAGGAGGGCCCTGTTTGAAAAGAGAAAGCGACTGAGTGACTATGCTCTGATTTTTGGGATGTTTGGAATTGTTGTTATGGTGATAGAGACCGAACTGTCTTGGGGTTTGTACTCAAAGGTAGGGGCTGTGGTTTCTCTTTATACCTTCAACAAAAGGAGTATGTAGAGGAGAGAGAGAGAGAGAGAGAGAGAGAGAGAGAGAGAGAGAGAGAGAGAGAGAGAGAGAGAGAGAGAGAGAGAGGCTTCCTTTGCTTAGTTACATGAACACCCTCCTAACTTCTGTGGTTTTCCTCCTTGGTCCTGTGAGAATGCCTGCTTTGCTTCCCTTTGTGGGGACATCCCCATGCACTGTGTCTAATTTGCAGACTCTGTGTTAGGGAGCATTAAAGAATCCCTTCTGAGAAATCGCTTTTTTTTCCCTCCAGGCTCACTCGTACTAAAGCATAACCCAGCAGCTTAACGCACCAATTAATTACACTCTGCCTTGATGTGTTCGCCAATTCCTGGTACTTCCCTCCTTTCCTCTCCTGCCTGCTCCACTCCATTTTCCCCAGGATAAAAAAGAAATAAATGTCTGGCTGGGGGTAGGGATCCTATAACATTCCCAAAGCCCCCCCCCCCCTTCCCAAGTTTCTATATCCCTTCTGGTCCCAGGGAGACTCCAGGGTAAAACAGAGATGTAGCCGAGTCTCTCCCAAGGGCACCGGGTTAAAAATATAGGTGGAGGAAATCAGCAGTCCCTTCCCTCAGGAAAGAGGACTCAGAATAAACCTGCCGCTGCCTTGTAAACATGCCCTGATAAAAATGGCTACAGGTGTTATCCAGGCAGAGCAGATGGGCACCGCCTTGGCATCACAGGGAGAGTCCCTCTCCTTGGGATGGGATGATAGGGCTTCCCCAGAGGGCCACGGGAGCCGGCGACCCGGCTCAGCCCTGTTTCTTCCCTCCCACCCTAACTCCTTCTCCTTGGGATAAATAAAGATGAGTGTACGTGAGAGTGCACACTGGATGGAGAATGGCAGGCACTGTGTGTGTGTGAGTGTGTGTGTGTGTGTGTGTGTGTGTGTGTGTGTGTGTGTGTGTGTGTGTCCATTGCCCTAGCCTTTCAGTCGGAGGAGAAGGTTTCCTTCCCAGAGGGGAAGGAGGTTCAGGAAGGTGGTTTTTGTCAATGCTGTACTTGGCAGGAAGCTGCTGGTTGGAAGGCTTGGAGGTGCGGGGAATTGTTGGGCAAGTGGCTTCCCCACACCGTACCTTCGGCCCCAGTTTGTTGTTGGTGTGTGTGTGTGTGTGTGTGTGTGTGTGTGTGTGTGTGTGTGTCTGTGTGTGTGTGTCTCTCTCTGTGTACTTGTGTGAGCGCCTGCTTGTTGTGTGGATGCCTGTATTTATTTGTCGTTTTGGACGAGGGCTGGCTGGGCTGGCTGGTGGGTAGCTGGGAGGGGCTCAGCTGTTGCAGGTTTCAAATAGAGCCCGGTTTCAGCAGGGCACAGCTGCTGGAGACTGTCACATTCCTTGCTGAGATCTAGTCACAAAAACCTGGGAGTCGCTGATCAGATTTCCCCCATTCCCAGAGTCTCACTTGAAACCAGGATGGGCAGAGCTCCTTGTCAGCCAACCGGCATGGACAGAGTCCTCCGGGGACCTGCTGCTTTGCAGGGACTGCCCGAGCCAGAGCACTTGGAAGCTGCCTTAGTCCAAACAGCTCATGGATGAACAGACCTCTCCGTGAGCAGAGAGTGGGGTTTCCCCTGGAAGCCCAGCTCACTTAGTCATTCCCTGTAATGAGAGCCTGGGAGGCTGTAGTCCCCCCGCTCCCTGCCTTCTTAGAACGGCCTCTCTTGCTATGTGCTCTGCCTGGGAGATGGGCTGGCAACCACCCCCTGGGAATCAGGAGCCCTTGCTGGGGGAAACCCATGGAAGCCCATATCCCGGGGGTGTGGGGTGGCACCAACATGTTCTCGTTAGTGTTCCCCATGGTGGCTCTTAACGAAAAGGCTTTTCTAGGAGTTGGTGGCTGTGTCCAGCTCCGCGTATGGGATCCATGGTCGTTGGTCTGAATGTGTTGGGAGGGTGGCCACCAGGCAGGGGTGAGCTAGCTTCTCTGGTGGAGTACTCATGGGAAGAGGCTTTCCCAGGAAGGGAGGCTGCAAGTGGAGGCAGGGTGAGATCGCCGGAGGTGCGTGCCCCCTCCGCTTCTAAGACAGGATTCTCTGGTGCTGATGGCACCAAGGGACAGTGGCTAAGAAGCTCCTGCTTACCTCAGCTGGTGAGGTGGCCACTTCCTGTGGACTCTGGGGATGGGACTGGAACAACAGAATGTTTAACGAGGCAAATGTCCCTATCTGCCGTGGAGACAACCGGGATCATACCAAAGAATGGGGCCAAAGCTGGAGTTCCAGCTCTGCCGCTGTTAGCTGTGCGATTTTGGATAAGTCACGGGACTCTGCAAATCTCTTTCCAGCTTCCAGGTGGGGATACTGAGTCAGACGAGCTCAAGGCCCTCCATAGCTCCTGTTCATTAAGAGGGGTCTGCTGTGGCTGTTTGTGATGACGGTGGAGAGAGATGCCTTCTTCCTCTGTAATCTAGCTCTGGCTCTGGAGTTAGGTGGAAAGTAAGCATGCAGGAGGAAAGTTCTGCAAAGAATCTGGGTCTGGTCGGAGACCATCTTTAAACATGAGGCAGCTGTTGGGGAGAGGTGTCAGCCTTGGGGTGGGGTGGGGTCGGGGATGGGCTCTGTGACAGAAGAGCTCAGAGAGCCTCAGGACAGATGAGTGACTCTCATCTGGAGGTCTTGTGTGCTCCCCTGGCTTTGATGATGACTCTGGAAGCCAGAGGCTGGACCAGGTGCCCAGTCATTTCAGGTTCTGCACCTACAATGGCAGTTTCTAGTTAGGTGATTGATGGTCTGCAGCCCTGTGCCTTAGCTAGCTCCTAGGCTCTCCGCTTTATCTCACAAGGCTACACGCTTTCTGTCCGCCTATCCATGGCTGGTATCGGCTGCGGGGAGAGTAATTCACCATGCAGGCCCAGGTGTCTGGGAGAAAAGCCATGCGGCAGGTGCCCTGAGCATGCTCAAAGTTGTTGCAGAAGGGAGCCAGTGTGAGGAGGTTGAGAAATGGGGACAAAGTGCCTCCCAGCTCCCACCCTCACAGGCTGTAGGCGATGACATGGAAGGAAGGGAGTTCTACTGAGAAGGGCAGGTGGGAGCCTGAGCAGGGAGGGGCTGCCTCAGAGGCCCTCAGAGGTTGGCTCTGAACTGAATGGGGACTCTAGGTGCTCCTGCCTGCCTGCCTGCCTGCCTTCCGTCCTTCCTTCTTGCCTGCCTGCTTTCCTTCCTTCCTTCCTTCCTTCCTTCCTTCCTCCCTCCTTCCCTTCTCTGTTCCTCCTGTTCCTCTTCCCTCTCCTCCTCCACCTTCATCTTCTTTAGTAGATGAGTTTCCTATCTGGAGACTTAGACAACAGAGCATAGTCTAGAGATCCTGTTTGGAAGTCTTGGTGATCCCGTCTCTACGTCTCAGACTCCCTCTAACTGTTAGAGTCTAACAGGATTAGGGCGATGAGGATTTAGGTTTTTTTTTTTTTCCTTACTGTGTTCTCTACTTTCTTCTGGAGCTGGTTTGGCCCACATAGCCCTGTTGCCTTAAGCTGTCAGTAATTCTCTCTCTGCTAGGTCCAGAGAGAGCTAAGGATAGCCTGGCTCTCCCCTCCCCTACACCCCGATGGAACTCAGGCCTTAGCCTTGTGGCTGCTTCCCCAGGAAGCCTGGCTGTGCTGGGCAGCAGGGCAGCTGTCTGTTTCCATGGATTTTGCACACTCTTCAGCAGCTTCCCCATCCCCGGCCTAGAGATCCACCTCAGCTTCGCCTCGGCCCCTTGTCCCTCCTGTCCGTCCAACCAGACTTCTTGTCTTTCTGTTCCCTTCTGATATCCCTGCCTGTCCTGTTGCTATGACGACACAGCCCGGACACAGGAGCTCCCGTCTGCTCCCTCAGTGGCCTCTTCTCTCTTCTTTTTACTCTTTCTTCCTCAGACCACCCAATGAGCTGCCACCTTGAGGAGGCTAGTTCTCCTGAGCACCTAGAAGAGGTCTCTCATGAATACTCTTCAGAGAATGGTGGCTTCTAGGCCAGGGCCACTTTGTTGCCGATCTCTTTGTTGGCCTCACAGATAGCAGAGAAGTCCTCCAGCCTTTAGCTGGAATGACTGATAGTATTCTAGGTTTTATTTTGGGGCCTTGTAGGGTGAGTGTGGGGAGGTGGTAGCCAGAGTTTCACACTGTAGGTAAGCGCTCTATTGCGCACATCCCCAACACCACAAGTATCCCAGTTCTGGCCCTCTGCCCTCCTGGGAAGGGAGGTCCTCGCTGCAGAAGGGCAGAGAGGTAGCTGGGCTTGACATAATGAACAGCCCTGCCTGTTCCTTTGGGGCCCAAGTGCTGCTTGAGGTTAGACAACCGGCTGCTGGAGTGTGGATTTCTAGATTTGGGGGTACCAGTAATGTGATTTCAGGCGTGCTGGGGTGGTAGAAACAGGGTCGACCCTTGGGTGGGCCTCCTGCAGGATGCCCTCCCAGGGTGTGCAAGCAGGAGACTTGATTTTCAAAAAGCCCTTTGGCTGCAGGCAGGACCCTGAGAGGCAGCAGCCAAGGGCCTCAGGTCCACATTTTATTGTCCCGGGGCATATTGACTGTGCCAGCCCAGGGAAGGACAAGCGGATCTGATAGTGTGAAACAGCCGCAACCCTTCCCCCATGGTGACCATTTATTTATATTCTCTGTGGACAGGGAGCAAATAAGTGAAACCTTTGTAACCTATACGGTTCCTGCTAACTTGTCATATACTTTCCTATGCATGTCACCCCACTATTTATAACCATCCTGGGCACAGGCTCTGATGATTCCAGACTTCCCTTCCCCACAGGCGGTATTCATGGGTGCTGGGCACTGGGACAATGGCTGGGCATTTGTCTCCTGAGTAAGCTAATTAGAAAGCTACTCCATGGCCTTTTATTCCCTTATTTAGCTTCCAGGAAGGAGGATGTATGAGCCCATCCTCAAAAGATCCTCTTTAAAGAAAAATTAGGTAGAGAAAAACAGAACAAAATTGAGTAACCTGTATTGTGA